TGACAGAGACGAACGCAGTGCCGGTTGGCCGTGACTTCCTGCTTCCGGTTCAATGCTCTCGCATCAACTTCGGATACTTCTCGCCCATGGGTGCCTATGTTCACCAGGCTCAAGACTAATCGCGGCATTTCACTTAGTTGCTACACTATACGGAAGTGCCATAGTACATTATTTTGTGCATCTGGACTTAGTCTTATGCATGCGTCGTGGCATGCCAGGATTGTTTGTGATGTTATTTTGTGATCTTTCGTCGTATGCTAATATCATGTGCTGCGGAGCACTCCGTAGAGCTATGTGCCATCTGAATACTTGTGGGTACTGGGAAATGACCTGTAGGCATTCATGTAAACCTTTACAAGTTACGTGTGTTTTAGCCTGGTGTTTATGGTATACCGCTGAGTAGATAGTGACGGTTGCAGCTTGGTATTGCAACACCCGCCCACAAAATGCTTCATTCGGGGTTTGTAGGTCGGATCTGGGGTCTACACAGGTTTGGAGGCAGTGAATGGTTTCGCATTGGATCATGGGAGAAATGTCGTAAGGCCACATAGTAGGATGTGTATTTAGGACTGCATGAAGTATCACGAGGGGGGTTGGGCCTGTCTGGAGATGGATTTTGCCGGAAAGTATCTACACAAGTCATGTGGGTCTGACTTCGTTGTGTTTGTGGACATTCATTTCCTGATGGTTTCTAGGTCATGCCGTAGTGCCTTTCGTAGTCTAAAGTCTACAGGTGCCTTGGCCATTCGGATGGAAATATGTCATGATTCGTAGTTGGCAGTGCGGTATAGATGTTGCGGCTGTTGGCATACACCTTGGGCATGGCAGCACAACACCAGGTACCCGAAAGTGTGTGCGTGCTGTGTCCTCAGGGCGGGAGTGGTACGGAAAGAGTTGTCATGCAAAATTTTGGAATCGCATCCTGACGAGGACAGTCTCTGAATCATCATGTAAACCTGGGCCTTTCGGAGGGGTTAACTTAATGGATATGGATATGTGTTTACATGCTCTCAGCTCTCATACATGTATAGGTGTATATATATATATGTATATATATATATAGTGTGTATATATATATATATAAATTTACGTAATATACACGCAACGCATGGGGATGCATACATACACATGCAGATGCACATCCAAACACACCCTGAGGCACAAACACATGTTCGGCCGGGCACATACACGATGACATGTGGAAGGCAGACTGGATTCGCCATCATGTGATTTCTGCAGTTTCATTCGAAGACGCGACCGGCGCATCTTTAGAAGTTCAGCTGCTTGCAAGGCTGGCTTCTCGTTTCAGACTGTGGACACTTGGGATGACGTGCCTCTGGATGTCACTTTCATGAAAGCTGTGCAGGTTTGTGCCCAGTGACACCCCTGACACCGCGCAACCGTTTCGGGATCAAGGGGGTTTGAAATAAACGGCCTCAATAGATTTGTCAAGTCGCTGTGCACAGAGAAGGTTGCTGTGGGAGCCATTCGGAAGGAGGCACGTTGAAATTCCTTTGCATCCTGCAGCCGCAGGTGAAGGGCATTAACATCTTGCGAAGCTTGCAGACTCCTGACTATCAGGCACGAGTTCACGGGAGAAAACTGCATCTTCTGTGCGCCCATTTACTCGCAGCAGTTGTTGCTGTCGCCACGAGTTGTTGTATTATTGCTCTGAATACTGAGTGTTGAAGTTGTTTCAAGATCGTCGAGACGCCAGTTGTATACATACTGCAACCAATACACCTACGGCCACAACTACGATCTCACGATTCTGACTGTTCTCGACTTGTATTGCAGTGTCCGAGGCTTGGGCAGAGCTCGGGGTGGGCCGCGCAGTCGCGGAGCTTGGGGCGGCAAGGGGCTGCCAGGAGCACGTGACGTGTGACTTTGAGCTGTTCCGAATGCCATGGGTGAATACGTTGTTATGCGGATCAACATCGCAGTCGCGAGCCTTGCCGGAAAGAATGGAAAGGATGACAAATCTGAGCTTTACCATGTGTGGTGAGTCCACAATCCGAGCAACGGACCATACCTCTGCAAGAGCATATCTTTCGCGGCATCTTCACCTTGCCGGCTGCGCCTGTTCGCCTTGCCAGGACATTCCCGATTGGGAGAAGTGCAACGCTCCTTGGAATGATTCCTTTCTTGCCGATGCTCAGTCAGAGGCTTTTCGCAGTCTTTGGGCCCATGATGGACATGGACCATATGGACCCAACGGTGTGCAGAAGCTCCAAAATTGTTCAAGATGCCCACATTGGGGCATTGAAGCCACCGGACGAAGCAGATCGCGCAATTCCTCCACCAAGCCAGTGCCCTAAACCCGAAACCCTCAACCCCAAAACCCCCAAACCCCTAAACCCTAAACCCTGCGGAGTCCTAGGACACGGATTGGAACTGTTCTACCTACGCTCTGGGCGACTTCTGCAACGCAACCTTCCAGGATGAAGCGGACTGTCCTGGCCTTAGCCTTCGGCTGACTTGCAGCCTGTCTTGGCTTTCTATATTATAGTATATTATTATAGTATATATATTATAGTATATTAGAGTATATGACAGTATAACTTGGGGCCCCAACTCAACTGGCATTTTCCGAACCAGGCTTCACATAATACTGGGATGTGAGCAATTAGTAGGGAAGAGATCCCTTGTTCGCAGCTCCTATGTGAGAATAACAGCCAAGAGACCAGACTGCACCTGTGTTTGCGTCCTTCTCACTCCTGACGACAAGACAACCGGTACTGTGAAGGACAGCCTGAGCTGTTGACGCCCACATGCCTTGATTCCTGCTCGCCTTGTTTTGACTTCCTGTTGGTTTTGGGGCACACAAGACGGCACGTTTCAGTTTCTTATGAACGTAAACTGTTTATGATATACCCCCGCGAAAAAATGATTATGAAGGCGCCTGTGTTAGCTGGAGCAGCGGCAAAGTGGGTCAAGAGCATTGGCACCCAGACTTCCTCAGCCATTGAATGCCAGGGACTGATGATTTCAGCTTGAACGGGTTAGGGGTTTAGGGTCAGGTTTTTGTTGTGGGGAGGAGTAAGGGTTCCAGCATTGGCTTTGGGTTCAGGGCCTAGATTATGAGAGCATACGCATAGCCCAGGTGTAAAAGAAGGATTATGAGAGCTTGCACCTAAAACTGCACATGGGAGCTCAGTCCCGAATCCGGCATGCTTGCACATACCCGATCCAGCAGAACTTGCGCAGGTCTCTGGCTCGGCTAACGGGTTCTGTCATATTCGGGTTCATTCTGCGACACAGGCGGCTACCGTTGTCGAGAGGTTTGGATGCCCTGTCAGCTTGCTCACAGGTGAAGGCACCTCTATGGCGCTCGCGTGCAAGGCAACTGCAAGTACTCAGGGCATCCGGTAAAACAATGGAGGAGGGAAGGCTAAGGAGGTGTTTGGGCTTCCCAAAGCTACGGGGCAGCACATGGCAGCACATCCCTTCCCTTCATCGCTCAGCCTAGCCGACAGGCCTCCTGCTGTCTTTGCGGTGCTGACAACCCGGAGCACCAGGGCTGCAGAGAAACTCCTGTCGCTCGCAAAGAGCTGCCTGTGGCCAGTGTGGAGTGGACAAGACAACACATGTAAACAAGACCTGCTTCGATTCAGTCTGGAGCAGGAAATAGCAACGGATTTTGTGAGGTGTGGGAGCTGTGAATTCAGTGTTGGTATGCTTGTATTTCGCAGGATTGAAAAGAGCTTCATCAAAATTGTACAGGCTCTTCGGCTTGACATGGATATTCAGGTCCCAGCTCGACTCTAAGACTAAGACTTGAGCACCTAACTCTGACAGTGATTTTTTCTTGTCAAGACCCGGGGGTCGTTGCTGAGGTCCTGCGGCACTGGGGCAGCTTCTTGACCAGACATGGGCCAGCCAGCCACTGCGAGTTCTCATGTTGCGAAAAGTCGCAGGAGGACTTCTCCCAGAGCTGTGGAAGTTCCACTGCAGCGACACGCCCTGGCACGCAAGCTTAGGAAGTTTCCGATGAGCTGCCGGAGTGGGTGATCCCCGTGGCGGCCAGTGGTGGTGGACTCCTTTTGCTCTGTTTCCTGGAAGATCAGCAAAACCGCAGTGCTGGGATGCAACGGTCGGTGCTGTCTTGCCGTTTTCTCGGGCAGCAAGGCATTTCTGCGGCTTCAGAAAGCCATGCCGGCTGAGGTTGTGTCGCTGTGTGCTGCCTCTGCCGGCGGAGACGAGCTGCCACAGCAAAGTGAGCTGGATGGATTCCGACTGCGAATACCTCCAAATCAGTTTTAGCGTACTGAGCAAAGAAGCCAGCGCTGAACCGGGTTGACATGTAAAGGGTCCGCGGCTACCTCGTGTACAGTGTCCTGCCTCGATGGCAGGGAGTCGCGAAGAGGGCCCATGAACAGTTCAACCTCGCTGGGCACGGATACTTCATGCGGCTACACAACATCAATGACTGCAGCAAGCAATGATGCGACTGTTGCGCAGAGTATCCGGGCATGGCTTTGAATTCGACCTCTACGGTTCCGCCTCCTCAAAGAGGAGGTCTTAAGCTTCCTGCGAGTCGCAAGAAACAGAGCCAGACTCGCTTACCTGGCATGGGTTCGTATGGTATGCCATCATTCCGGAGCAGGGTGCTCCACAAGTCATGCCTTTCCTCGCCTGCTTGTCTTCTCTTTTCTTTGCATGTCTCAGTTCTCCTGCTCTGTAAACCAATGATGTCCAGCACTCGAGGTTCTGGAGTTCCATGCTGTGGCAGACCTCTGCAAAGGTCAAGAGGCGACAGCTCACTGCAGCAGAGAGGGTTTCGCACGGAATTCATTAGCCTGCATGCTTTCATGGCATGCCAGAGGCCACTCTAATTGCGGATGTCGTCCTTAGCGGAAACGTCCATGGACAGGTGTTTGTCAGCTATGGTGACTCGCGTGGCAGCCCAGCTGTTGGCAAGGTGGTGCTGGCCATGAACTGAAAGATGTGGCGAGCTTTACTCGACAGTCTTGTGACACACCATGCAAGCCATCAGCAAGGTACTTCGATGAGGACTACGAAGGACACAGGTCGCCTGTCAGCAGGGGTTTCGAGTTTCGCGTGGTGTAGAACCGGAGCTTTAGCCACTATTAAGCGACGGCGACGGCTGGTTGTTCCTAGGGTTAGCCTTGCCCGACAAAGCCTCACAAAGGGCCCATCGGCTGCGAAGACACTCGGCCGAGTGGGGGCCACCATGTACCATAGGGCTGTCGTGGCAATGATGGGCATCTTGAGTAGTCAGAAGACACGTACCAGTAAGAAGACAACAAATGAGAGTAACAGGAACAAATTCCGGCCGCATCAGCAATTGTACTGGTGATTTTCATTGCCATGCTTTGCCGTCGCTGCTAGTACTGGTGGTGGTGGCGGTGGTGACGCCGTTGGTGAGAGCGGTGGTGGGGTGGCGGTGGTGGTTGGTGGGTGGTCGTTGTTGATTGTTGGTTGCTGTTGTCGATGATGGTTGTAGATGCGTTGTCGCTCGATGCTTTCCTTTGTGCCCGTGTGAGGCGCTCTGAGCTCCTTCATGTCGAGGCACCGGCTGTGCAGGCCGACCGCCTGGAGGAATTTAATTCTGACGTGGTGGAAGAAGCCTGTGCATGCGCAGGTAGTTATGTCATACAATACCCTACACACCTGCTTCTAACTACATGAGCGTTTTGACTTTCGACTACCAGAAAACCAAGCATCTAGACCACACCACAAGATGATGCGATGCATGGCTGAGTCAAATTCGATGGACCTGGCGTTGCTTTATACGCTGGATTAAGCCTCTCAACTTAGTGACTTGGTCCTACATCCAGGGCGACAAGAAGACGCAACAGCTGCTGGAATGCCAACGCGCCCTGGCACGCGCGTTTGAAGGTGGCTCCTTGTGCATGCTTTTGGGCAGTTTGGGCAGGCAAACCTTCGTACCCTGGCCCTGCAGGTGTAGAATTCCAGCGAGAGCTGCGTGAACGTGCAGTCGCGCGAGCCGCAGACAGCCGCTCAGTGCGCTTTTCTCTAATGGCGGCTTGCGGACTGCTGCGGTGCGAGGGAGTTTCTGCAGAGAGCAGGGTCGCGTGCCACCAAGGCCTTCAAGGAAGGACCGGTGGGCAAATGGCCTCTTCTTCTAGGGTCTCTCTGGACGCCGATCACGACGACGGGAATGGGTAAAGATCATGACGACCCTTTGAGCCCGAAGCCCTCAAGAACGAATTCTTCCCACTAGAGATGTCTCTATAAGAGGGCAGTTGGGCCGCTGCTGCAAGTTCGTGAATGTTTGACGGATGCCCGAAAGCGCCCACATCATAGTCTGATGAACTTCCAACCAGCGGTCCACAGGAAAAAGCTCTGCAGCTGTGATCGGGGGGAGTCGGCCGGTGCCCCATTTCAACACCGCTGCAACTCTCCTGAAGCAATTCCGCCCTTCACAAGCTTTGTTGCCCGGTCGGGATAAAAGCCCGGGCTTGTTGCATCTTGCGCTTTCTGCGCTACTTCATGTTCAACAGAAATTCAGTGAATCGCAGTCGCCAATCTCCAATCATGCCCAGAAACCTTGCAGAACTGTGCGTTCGACTCCGGTAGACTCGGTAGACAACTTGATCCATCATCATAGAAGCATGCAAGGTCGGTGCATGCTCTGATCATGGCCACGGAGGAGCCCATACTGGAGCGACTGGTGCTCAGCTGCTGCAGTCTGGAACCAATGGCATGACAGAAAGATACAGCAAGTATATCAGGTTGAAGAGACCAAATCTTTGGCCAAGTTTTGGTCAGCATAGCAGAAGTTCACCGAAATCTAACAAATCTTGTTTTGCCGAGGGTTCGGCTACGCTCGTGGCATGGCCGGGGCTAGAGCCATGGAGCAGGTCGGGATTGCATCGTGTCACAGCTGTCAGGATACGTCGGCTACGTAATGTTTGCGCCACGAAATTTGTTGTTTGATCCGGTGCAGTTTGCAATTTGGATGTATTGGCCCTTTGAGAAATGGCTTGAGAGTCATCTTCAGGACCTTCTGGAGGCTGCTTTGAGCAAAGATGTCGACTCCGAGATCGTACGAAACAACGCGTGCGCTCGACAGAGCCTGAGTCTAGTTGTGGGGCTGGTTGTAGTCTTATTATGATCACTATCACTGCTGTTGCAATTGTTATCAGGTTATGCTTACGTTTAGTATCATGTTTACTATCGTTATGATTGTTATCATTGATGCTGTGATGTTGCTGTGATTGTTTTGTGATTACTGTAACGATTATTAATATTGTTGTTAATATAATTACATATTTCTATCAGCAGTATTGCCATTATTATTTCTTCGTTGTTATTATTGTTGGTGGGCGACAATTAGCCTGATGATTGCTATGATTGTTGTCATGATTGAAACTGTTTCTGTTTGTGAGTCTGCCTATTACATGGAGTCAGGGACCTGCATGCCGACGAGGGGGGGCCTACTAGCTTGGCCTGTGTTGATGTCAAACATGCAGAGTGCAGTTGACCTTAGACAAAATGGCTACCTAACCCCCCCCCCCCCCCCC